GTAATCAGATTAATGGGATTATTATTCTTTCTAAAACTTAAATTTAGTACTGCTTACCTTCTAAATGTTATATCAAACTCTATCACTTGATCAAGAAAAAAAGGCATACACAAAAGTGCACTGTTAAATCTATTAAAACTGATAAACGTGTTAAAAAGTTTAGAAAAAAATGTATAAACATCACACATTACATTACTTATTTTATTATACTTAAATATTTAAATATTTTAAATGTAAAATTACGCATTAACTTGAGCAGCTGAAGTTCAGCTGGAGAAAGAAATGGTGATCCCTTTTTTTTTAAGATGTTCCATGGTCACTCGTAATATCTGCGCTCCATTGATAATGCCTTTTTATAGTCACGGTGTGTACGCTTAAATCTGAGTTGGTCTACTCAAAGTTGATTGACCTAACTCAGATCCGCTATTCTGAAACCGAAAACTCTGAGTTTTTAATCTCTCGGTAAATCAACTCAGAGTTCAAGTTTAAACTCTGAGTTGTTTGAACCTCTTTACTGAAACAGGCCCCAGGACAAGTGAGTACGCATGAATCCAGCCTACTGGGGAGTGCATGCGGACTTATACAAAGACACGTAAGAGACACATAAGTGACAAGACATGAGCAGTGTCCAGCAGTGCCTCCAAAACAAGAATAGACATGACCGAAGTGGCAGAGTTTAAAAACAAGGGGTGCAGAGGAACAAGGGAACAAGGAACTAAAGACAAACACAATGGGGAACAAGAACACAATGCTCACAACCTCCAGAGCCCCAACACTCAACAACAAAAAAAGAATAGGAGGATTGCAGGAAAGTGGTTACTAGGAACCATGTAGGGGAACAGGAAACCAGGGCAGAGTCAGCAGGGTAGGAACTAGGGCTGAGCTGGTTGCACAGCAGGCCAGGGCTGGAAGCGAAGTAGAAGAGGAGGGTATCAGGCTGGAGCAGTACAGCTTTGGACAGCTGGTCATGATGGAACGAGGCTAATGACAGGACGAGGCTCTGGAGAGACAATTGTGACAGGACAAGGCTCTGGGGCTGGTGGTCGTGAAGGGATAAAGATGCGATGTTAAACTAGGGTTGCTAAGAAATAAGGGAAATAAAGACAGGGAGTGATCAAGCTCTTTTCATTCTCTAGTTATCATATCTTGACCAAGTAGTTTGTAATTTCTAAGTGCAAATTATAACAAACTGCCACCTTGTAAAGCAGCTGTTTTCTCATTAAATTGGCTTTTTTAAGATACAAAGTAATGCTGCATCGATTCTAATTCTCCCTTTAAAGAATTAAGATATTTTGGATTCTTTAATTTGATCAGAGTATAAAGACTTAATGCAGAAAGTTATTAAGAAATAAAATGTGCCAGTAGCGTTCAGCAATTGCAACTTTAAAGGGCACCCATAATACAAAATTAACTTTTGGAGTCTGTTTGTACTGTGTGCAAGTATAGTGTGTGCACTGTCCAATTGGAGTGATATAAACACAACAGCTCTCTTTTTAAAAAATTTCCTGAGGTTAAAATAGGATGCAAATATCAGAGATATTGAGGCCCACCATTACGTGATGAGGGTATGTGTTTTTTCCCTGCCCATCAAATTGATTGGCTAGTATTAACATCTCTCCGTAGTAATGCATATACACATCCACAAAACAGAATTTGCAAAGACACAGTGATTAAGACATTACAGACACATTCTGGAGACACCCTAGATTTATCTTACATCTTGTTAAAAGGGTAAAATAGAAGCCCCTTAAGACCCAATTGACAGCTCAAAAATTGGGTCATATACAGTGTATAAATTAAATTATTATAACTTCTTTGTTGTCGCCTCACAAAAAGAAGGTCACTGGTTTGGGTTCCATTTCTGCATGGAGTTTGCATGTTCTCCTTATGTTCGCGTAGGTTTCCTTCGGGTGCTTCTGTTTCCCCCAGTCCAAAGACATGCGCTATACAGTAGGTGAATTGGGTAAGCTAAATTGTCTGTAGATACACTACGTGTGTGAATGAGAATGTATGGATGTTTCCCAGTGATGGGTTGCAGCTGGAAGGGCATCCGCTGCATTTAACATATGACGGATAAGTTGGCAGTTCATTCCGCTGTGGTGACTCCGGATTTATAAAGACTAAGCCAAAAAGAAAAGGACTTAATGAATGAATGTTAAACTGACATAATGCTGGACTAGAAATTTGTTATTGCACAATATTATTTGGACTAATATGAACGTATTAATATCTCAAACGAAATCACCTTTGTATTCAGGTTCAATTATCAGTTACACTGTGGCATGACTGATTGCTTGAATACTTGCCAAGATGTGACGTAAGCCCTTTTGTATGCACACTTGTGTGTGAGCATGTTGCATTTATTTATCAACTCTTTTGAACAATAAGCATATTAGGGGCTTTATTCTGTAACTCGTGTATGTTTCTTTATAAATCTAACGCAAGCACTGCCTTATATCACTATATGTACAAACCGTTACTGTACATATTATAAAAAAAATATAGGCATATTTTTCAGACCTTTAGAAGCAAAAAAAAAATTTATAAAAAATTATAAAAATATATCTATTTATATATAGTTGGAGTCAGAATTATTAGCCCCCCTAAATTATTAGCCCCATTACTACCATTATTTTTTCTCCAACTTCTGTGTAACGGAGAGAAGATTTTTTCAACACTTTTTTAAACAATAGTTTTAATAACTTCTAATTTCTAATAACTGATTTATTTTATCTTCGCCATGATGACAGTAAATAATATTTTACTAGATATTTTTCAAGACACTTCTATACAGCTTAAACTGACATTTAAAGGCTTAACTAGGTTAATTAGGTTAACTAGGCTGGTTAGGGTAATTAGGCAAGTTATTGTATAATGATGGTTTGTTCTGCAGACAGTTGAAAAAATACAGCTTAAAAGGGCTAATAATATTGACCTTAAAATGGTTTTTAAAAAAATCAAAACTGCTTTTTTCTAGCCAAAATAAAACAAATAAGACTTTCTACAGAAGAAAAAATATTATGAGACAAACTGTGAAAATTGCCTTGCTCTGTTAAACTTCATTTGGGAAATATTTTAAAAAGAAAAAAAAATCAAAGGGAGGCTAATAATTCTGACTTCAACCGTAAATACATATATAATATAACCCTACCATGACAAAGCTCTTGACTTTGTTGTTCTTCATGGTTAATTCATTCATTTAACACAAAATACAATTCTAAACAATAAACATGGTAATCATGTGTGCAGCATCGCACACTCAGACACATGCACTCTTTTACTTAGGGGGACTTTTTATTCAAACAGATTAAATAAACCACTCCCTATGATTGGAGTTAACCAAACAGTTCATGTGAAGAAATTATCCAGAATTATATTTAATTTTTAAAGTAGATGATAGAATTTTTAAAGATAATTAAAATCAAATGAGATTTTGATTGATGACAAGGTTTTTGAAGTGTAGCATGCGTTCTTTTCTCCATTTAAATCATCTCTTTGCACCTGTTCAACACACTCTATTTGTCCTGCTGGTAGAAGGAGTTGCATTATTGAATAGGTAGCCAGCCCATGTGGGCATTACAAAAACAGACATGCCTGCTAGCAATATGAATGCCACTGGTGATGTTAACACAAAGCTTGTTCTGTATATTCTGTGCATTTATACATTCACGATAACTGAAGCAACATGTGATTGTTTTAACTTCAGAGCCATCATCATGATTCATCATTTACTATTATAGATTTGAAAACACTTAAACGACAAGAGAAAATATATTTTCATATGCTGTAAACATTATCTGTTTGAACAACTTTGGAACTGCATGCCAACTACTGCTGGATAATTTAGATCATTTGTTGTACAATGTATGTACTGTAAACTGCAATGGTTATAATTTTTAAAAGAAAAAATTATGTAGATTATTTGTTGGTATTATTTAAAGTAATGAGTTTCAACAACCTTTCCTTCAAAGGTTTTGGTTTTGCTATAATGCGTAATGTAACTGTGCTAATTTAAATTTAGCTTTCTACATTTTTAATATTACAATTTACAATTTAACTTGTTTATTTTTACCCTTTTATGGCTTATGTGTGGTTTTCAGTTCCTATATTTGGGGGAGGGGGGGAGGATTATGAATTAATATTATGAATATTCTATTTTGGTGTATTATGTGGTGTATAGTAATAATTAGTTTGTGAAAACATTTCTATAATTATTTCTCACACCATTTTTATGTATGAGACCCAATGTGTTTTGTAGAAAATCTAAATAAACTGTTTGCAGGTATTAAACACCCGCTTTGAATGTTATCACTGAATTGAATGGCGTTATCAGTGGTTATCAGCTGATAGATATAGGACAGATGGGGGAATTCTGCGCCTACTGATAGGCTTAGAAAATACCCATACTAATAGAGAAGACTCTAGATCCAGACCTGTTTTTACATGACTATGACGGTTGGGTTTATGGTTGGGGTAGGGGCAGATTTTATAAAAATACAATCAATGGAAAATTAAATTAATAATCTAAATAATTATCATGGTTAATCAGCTATACTAATATGAAAGACTCTACACTCTTAAAAGAAACGGTTCTATATAGAACCAAAAATGGTTCTATCAAGCACTTCATATATGGAACCCCAAAAAGGTTCTAAATAGAACCATTTTAAGGGTTCATTAAATAGAACTTCAAATGGTTCTTTCATTCTTAAAATAAACGGTTCTATATAGAACCAAAAATGGTTCTTTCAAACGCTTCATATATGGAACCCCAAAAGATTAAAAGTAGAACCATTTAAGGGTTCGTTAAATAGATCCCCAAATGGTTCTTTCTAGCGCTTCATATATGGAACCCCAAAAAGAATAAAAATAGAACCATTTAAGGGTTCATTAAATAGATCCCCAAATGGTTCTTTGTATTCAAGTTACATGGTTCTATTTAGAACCATTTGAGGGTTCTTTATTTATTATTGAATAAAAAATAAAACCAATGCAGAAAATTCAAATTGTTTAAATTTATTCAATTTACTTCACAAAATAAGTTTTAGATAATATTTAAAATTGCACCTCTGCGTACTTTGTATAAGATCTACCTCTAAACATTATACATTTTTACTATTTAATTAGTAAACATAATTAACAGCTTAATGGCATTCAACAATCTAATTCTAATGATTTCACTTTTTATTAAACATTTGTAAGCTTGCTTACTGATTGAACAAATACAAAACTTAACTTTCAAACATCTCTAAAATGATGAAAAATGTATTACAATGCAGATAGAAACAATACACAAACATCTATTAAATAACACTACAATTTCAACAAGTTGACGAAAGTTTGCAAGTTCTCCCAGTGTTTGTGTGGGTTTCCTCTGGGTGCTCCAGTTGCCCCCACAGTCCAAAGGCATGCGTACGGTATTGGTGAATTGGCCATAGTAAGTGAATGTGTGCAGGTGTATGAGAGAGTGTATGGGTGTTTCCCAGTGCTGGGTGGCGGCTGGAAAGTGAAGAGTAATTGCTAATTCATTCTACTGTGGTGCCTCTGATAAATGAGGGAGCAGAAGGATAGTGAGCGAGTGTTGGCCATCGTAATGCTGACACTTCAAGCCTTGACGGAATCAGGAGAGCTGTTAGGATCTTTGGATTTCTGTAAAAAAATATTTCAATGCTGAGTACTTCCTTCTTTCCTTCCCTTCTATTGGGCCATTTTTTTTAAAGATGTTTCTGTGTCCTTCACTAAGTCCTTATATGCAGCATCCTAAATTAAAACATTTTGTTTACTTTGTGTAAGTTTCCAAGTGACACATTTTCAGCAATACAAGTACTTTAAAGTCATCAAAAATACAGAAATACAGTGTAGATAGCTGTAATATATTTTCTATTTAATCTCCATCTCATTTGTTACAAAATTTAATGAAATTGACATTTCTGAGTGACCTCAATTTAGTATGAACATTAAATAAAACAATAAAACTAGAATAAGAACAAAACAAAATAATTGTTTATCAAATAACATACATCATATTTGGCAGATACTTTTATCCAAAGGGACGTAGATTGTGTTTATTCTATACATTTATTATTATGTGAGACCTGGAACACATTTGGCATTGCTAAAGCATTGCTTTACCAAATGAGCTTTAAAATGTCATATACACAGATTTTTCATATCTATTTGGCACACAATGTAACAGTGTTTGGTTACTCACAAGCTGTGGCACTCCAAGAAGAAGAAACTGCTCCATTAGTTTTGCAGACCCCTCCATAATCTGTACTCTGGAAAATAGTGTGTTTCATTTGGTTCTTGACTTATTCATAAACGATGTCGCATTCTAGGTCCATCACAATCTGAGGTAGGAAGACAGCATTTGTAGAGTGTGTAAATATGAATTTAAATCACAGAATTAATCTTGACATAAAATGTATTGAAATGAATTTGCCTTGTGTTAAGTCCCTCAGAGTCCAGTTCACTTCCTTTTGATCCCATCATATGAGCTCACCACTGAAATCCTTTCATTTTTACATTTGTTTTGAAGACATTGCAACAAGGAATCCTGTAGGCAAATTTACACCTTTCAATACACATTTCTTCTCTGCAGGACTTTTTTTAAGCAACGACCTTAATATTCTCACTGTATTGAAACAGCAGTAGTAAGTAATAGAATATTTTTTTGATAAATATATTTTTTCAGTACACAACAACCAACAAGTCTGAATTATGCATGTTATAAAACACAATACTTTACCAGGTGTGCTTGAAGATGATGTCAAACAATTATGGATGTGACACGTTTTTCTTTAAGCTGGGATCCTTCTTCTTCAAAGCTACTTGTGTGCAGCAAATCAAATTTAGAAAAACTTAATATGGGTCCCATGACACTTTTCTGTAATGATAAATACAATCTCGAAGTCTTTTATAATATTTATTTCATTTTACTGACCACAATACAGTTTGTTTGGATTTTAAAACAATGATACATACCAAGCACAAGTTTTATGAAGCAGTTCAGTTTCCAGGCTGTTTGAAGAAAAATAAAATATACATTAAAATATTTATTTTAAACTTATTTTGCACTATATATACATATATATATATATATATATATATATATATATATATATATATATATATATATATATATATATATATATATATATATATATATATATATAATTTCACAATACATTTAGTCTGCATTTTTGTGTCTTTTATAAATAAGACCTGATCTTTCATCTATGGATTGTTAGAATATGTTTGGCTTTTTAAAGGTTTCAATAATATTCAGGGGCGGACTGGCCACAGGGAGAACTTGCCACCGTGACTGGCCTCCTGCGCGTGCACAGACTCGGGCACGAATCTGCTTGTGCGGGCACGAGCGGTGCACTGCTATCTTGCGGATTTATGCAGACTAGCGGGAACGTCTCAAAAGCGGGCAGTAATGTCCACTACTTTGCAGAGTTTAGCTCAATCACTGATAAAACACACACGAACCAAGCTAAAAGTGAGCGTTTGTTCAAGGTTGGAGCTAAAAACAACATGAAAAACACGATGAAATCGGCACAAATCTAGTTAATTTTAAAGTAACATGCACATGCTTCATTCACGCTCTCTCGAAGCTCGCCTTCAAATAACACAGCTGTGTACTGTTATCGGTAATTTAATTAGTAGTACTGACAAACAAGTATAGCGATATTGTAACTTATTTCGAATAAAAAGCAGAACAAATTCAACTTAACAGATTTCTGAACTGAAGGGTGACGACCGAGGTCATCGCAAGCACAGTGTTTATCCATATTAACGCTAAAGTTGCCCCTATTCAATCTGTATCACCATATAACACGAGGGATTTTCTATCAAATAGAAACCTTACTTCATAATACAAAATATTTCACTATATATATTAAATGTACTAACATACCTGAATGATGAAGCTGAAATAGTGGACTTCTCCTTTCGAAAAATTAACCTTCTCTCGAGGCTCTTCACCACTGGTCCATGACGATGTCCTTGTCAATGACTGACGTCACCAGAGGGCTTTTTTATAATTGTTAGTTTCAAATAAATTATTAAACCATAACAACATGTTACTGCACAGTCTAAATAAATTGGTTATTTTATTTATTTCACAAAATAATTTGTCAAAAATGTTAAACATAAACTAGGCCTATAAGTTATATGCTATTGTACAAACCTGCATAAAAAAATCCCATCATACTGTACACTGATTAAGTTTTTGACCACAGCATTCATTTTATTAGGTTTTGACTCAAAAAGCTTTGTCTCTCTGTGTTATAACTTATAATTATTTCATAATCTTTACTAAATAATTATGTTATCTTACAAAAATTATAGAACCGTTTTAATCAAAAAGGTTCTTTGCAGTCAAAGGGTTCTAAATGGAACCATTTTTTCGGTAAAAGGTTCTACTGGCCAAGTATAGAACCCCAAGGTTCTATATAGAACCTCAAGGAACCTTTTTTTTTAAGAGTGTAGATCCAGACCTGTTTTACATTACTGTGATGGTTGGGTTTAGGGTTGGGGTAGGGGTAGACATTAATAAAATATAATTTATGGGAAATTTAATAAATAATATAATAATCATTGTTAACTTTCGACCACAGCTGTATGTGATCTATAGCGGATTAACCATGTGGATGGATGATAACAGCCTTCTGAGCCTTCCAGTAGCCTACTCCATAGCCTACTTGCCCATATCTATATTAGCTGATAACCACTGATGAAGCCCATTCATTTAAGTGATTTGTTCGAATCGGCAGGTATTAAACAGTCTAATGACTGGTAGTGACTTATTAGTGAAAGCAATATCTAAAGATATTATTATCAGATATTAGTGTTACCCAATGCTAATTCAATTCAGTTCAATAACAGTATTTCTACAATGTTAGTATAGTAAATAAATAATATTACCTATTCTTATTGTCATTTAAACCCTTGTAGGAGAAAATAATTTATGTCAAGAGACATAAGAAAAGCTTAGCTCAATGTCTCACGTGTGCTTAACCACTACACCACAGTTCTGACATGCTTCACAATGTTAATCTTTCGTAAAAGGTGTGATGATGGCTCTCCCTTTCCTCAAATCATTTTTACCCTCCTGTCACTGTCCCAGAGATGCACAGCAGTGGTGTTGAAGAGGAGGGGTGCGTTTACTGAGTGCTGTTGACAGCGTGTGATGAGGTGCGCATGAAGCTAATAGCACCTTGTCACCTCGCAATAAAAGTAGCTGCACGTCTGTCTTCTAAACAGAGACTGATGCACAAGGTGTCCTCAAATGGTCACAGACTGCCTGTCTCCACACCTCTAGGGCCAACCACTCTACATGACCTGGCCCGCATTGCGAGCTCATTGGTATTTCCCATGATATTTGAATCCCCTTTTGAATTTAATAAAAGCCACTCTGATACTTAAGCACAGTTCCCACTGTAGGCTATACAAAACCTCTGTGCATATGCCTTCACATACATCTACTGATATGATAAATTATGACATATTATAATTATCACAAAAGTATAAGGAATCAAAAATGTTTTTTTTTAATTGTTATAGAAAAAAATAGGTGTTGTTCAATAGTTTTAAGAGTATAATAATAAAAAATAATGATTCAACTAGTTAAAATTGTTGTTTGATGTAAATAAAATGTCATTAAACAAAAGTTATGCTATTATATTATGCTCGATATATATATATATATATATATATATATATATATATATATATATATATATATATATATAGAGAGAGAGAGAGAGAGAGAGAGAGAGAGAGAGAGAGAGAGAGAGAGAGAGTGAGTTTCTTTTCTTATTTAAATATATTTTTTAAATGATGTTGAACAGAGCAAGGAAATTTTCACAATATGTCCGATAATATTTTTTTAAATTATTTCTGCTAGATCAAATGCAGTTTTTTAATTTTTTTAAAAGCTATTTTAGGGACAAAACTATTAGCCCCTTAAAGCTATATATATTTTCGATAGTCTACAGAACAAACCATCATTATACAATAACTTGCCTAATTACCCTAACCTGCCTAGTTAATCTACTTAAACAAGTTAAGCCTTTAAATGTCAGTTTAAGCTTTAAACTGTATAGAAGTGTCTTGAAAAAAAAATCTAGTAAAATATTATTTACTGTCATCATGGCAAGATAAAATTAATCAGTTATTACAAATGAGTTATTAAAACTATTATGTTTAGAAATGGGGTGGAATCTTTTTTCTTTCCGTTAAACAAAAATTGAGGAAAAAAATAAACAAGGGGGCTGATAATTCAGGGGGGCTAATAATTCTGACTTCAACTTATATATTGGGAAAATTGGTAAACAGGAGACGGGATGGGAATTTTTTTAATATATTGAAATGTATACATCACTGGAAAGCTGAATAAATACGCTTTACATTTGTTGGAGGGTTTGCTAGTATAGGGCAATAATTAGCTATGAGTCCATTACTGTTTGGTGAATACCGTATGTTCATGTACTTTATAGCAGTATCTCTCAAACCTAGATTATGTCAGTATTAGTCAGTTAGAAATTATACAAGTGTTTAAGATTGATTACAGCAGTGTGTAAATGAAGCAAACAGATTTACATTGAATGAAGCGTGTTTGTTCCGTTTGGTGTCAAAATTGTGATTTGTTATATTGTTGTAAAGTTTTAAATGAAGTGTTTTATTTTGCAAAAGAACTGATGTGTTCTGCTGTTTGTGTGTGTGGATGTGGAAATTGTGTGTAGTGTTTTGACAAAATGAGCCTTAATTTCAAAATTGTGCTTAAGCAATCGTAAAAAAATTATAAGGCTGAGAAATAGTTTTGGTTTTGGAGATTTGGGGTGTAGTTTAGCATTTTGACTGAGAGGTTTCCGAAATTGTATGACATGAAATGATTTTGTGTGTCAGCAGTTGGAAAAAACTGTAAAACAACACAATATGTTTTGCTTGTTTATAAAATGCTTCTTGATTTAAGAATTTTTAGATATTTGGACTAAAAAGACTAGACTAGACAAACACATACATAAAAGCACTGGCCTTCTGTGATTAGTGCTGGCTCACAGTGTCTTCACTAAAGGGACTGCGTGCTGTCCTGGCATCTGCTGTTCCCATTCAGACTGACAGAGTGCTGTTTTAATACGAGCAGTCAATGCTCGAGTGTCCTTTGTACTCTCTCTCTCTCTCTTTCCTGTAATCTGTTCTTGTCTGAATAGCATCCCTCCATTGTTCTTGCTATGGTAGACCACACCTCCCCACAAACACACACAGGCAAATGCTTCTTTATTTAAACCGACTGTGCGTGTAGTTGATTTTATGTGTGCTTGCGGTTTGTTATGACATGCCACCTCTGCCAATCAGGCACCTCGGTGAGGGGCCATGCCAAAGCACTGCAATAGTTCTCATGAAGTTTCTCAAAGATTCATATTCTTACATCAGCACCACTGAGTGCTGATGATTTAACACACTTTACAAGAGCTGTTTTACTACAACTGTGGCTCATAAAACGGCATATTGTAAACATCATTTTAATAAAAGCTGTCTTTGAGGTAGCAGTTAGCTCTGACATTACAGCCCCAGACCACCATCCAACCGACGGCAGTTTGAGCTGCACATTCTCAGAGCTCAGGGCTTTGTGTTTTGCAATATGTCAGATTGAGAAGAACTTCCTGCTTATATGACTTCAGGGCATGTTGAATAGTGTCTAGTGTCTTGTGGAGAGTGGCGATTGGGAAGCTTGTGCTGGAAGGATCAAAAGGGGTGTAAGTGTAGTGAAATTGAGTCCGAGAGCTGGAGTGGAGGTGGAGTAATGCTGTGTGTGTGTGTGTGTGTGTGTGTGTGTGTGTGTGTGTGTGTGTGTGTGTGTGTGTGTGTGTGTGTGTGTGTGTGTGTGTGTGTGTGTGTGTGTGTGTGTGTGTGTGTGCTCGCATGTATTGGTGGGAGTCTGAGTAGGGATGTGATGAAAGCATCCCACGTGTTGGAGCACAGGGTAGGGCCATAGCACACAGCTCTCTCCGGAGGTATGGAAGCAATTACTGGCACTGAGGGCCCACAGACACCCACTGAGAGAAGTGGTCCCAGAAAAGAATGCACACAGTTCTCTGGAAGGCTAAATTACTTTCGTATGAGGACTAAGAGGGTAAGGTTAGTGTTTCTGTTCCTCTGTGTGTGTTTTTTTTCTTCCCTTTTTTTCTTTTTTATTAGGAACAAATACTGAGGCATATTTAATTCAGATCACACATTTCAAATTTAAGAAAACAAGCCACAAAAATACCACTGCTAATTAGACTAATGCTACTCCCCGTGTGCGTGCTGAGCAGGCCGGGGAGAGAGCGATGGCCAGCCGCCCTCCAGGCAAAGCAGACTCCGAACTCTCCTCGCATGAGAAGCGAGGCAATTAAAATACTGATGCCTCCATCCCAAACCCCACACCGCTGGGTAAAAGTGTGCAAGCATGAGAGAAGCCTTACACCCCCTTGGATCGACGGTGCACACTGACGTACGTGAATGCTCCTTTGATTATTAAATAGAAAACAATCGCAGTGGTATACGATGCGCTCAGTTTTCCTGCTTTGAACATCACAGCCTACACCACTATACAGCTTGTTTAGGCATCAAAAAAATATTTTATTTCAAGAAATCTAAATTTAATGAACAAATTATTTAAAAAGGGACCTCAACTGAAAACAAGGTTGATTTAGGCACAAATGCTAACTGTAATATAGCTGCTACTATGCATATACTGTAGCTAATAAAAAGCTATTTGGTAAAAAAAAAAATTTTTTTTTATTTTAACATTTGACCAGTGCATTTCAATAGCTTTATTTTCTTTTTAAATCTTTAAAAAATATATTTTTAAATCTTTGGAACATTATTTAATAAAATATAGACAAACATTACCTGCATTTATTATACTTTTTTGTATATAAATTTTGTAAATATTTTATGCAGATCTCTTACCATTTACAAATATAACAAATAAGTTCAAACAAGTAAAACAGGACATAAAACAGTATATACTATTTAAAATACTAAAAATTTACACTAGAAAGTAGAATATTTTATATATATTATATTATAATATTATATATTTTCCTAATTATGTTTAAGAGAGCAAGAAAATTTTCATAGTTTGTCTGATAATATTTTTTCTTCTGGAGAAAGTCTTATTTGTTTTATTTCGGCTAGAATAAAAGCAGTTTTAATTTTTTTTAAACCTGCCTAGTTAACCTAATTAACCTAGTTAAGCCTTTAAATGTCACTTTAAGCTGTATAGAAGTGTCTTGAAAAATATCTAGTAAAATATTATTAACTGTCATCATGACA